TTCTGCAGACTGAGGACCGCTGTCCATGCTCTCCCCAGACCTCGGAAGACAGTCCTTACCTCCAGGAAAACCAACCCTCTGCCTTTGTTCTAGTGAGAAGAATGTGCATCTTTTGGGCGGGTTCCATGCTGTTGCTTACATACTTAGTGAGAGGCGTGTAAGCTGGCCTTAGACCCACTCACACACTCACTACTTCGCCCTGATTTGTGCATTTTCCCTGCTGCTCTTTCCTCACCCACAATTTCTTCACTGAAATTTCTACTGCATCACAAACACATCCTGCTCAAGGACAGGTAGTGATTGATTCTATTTGTGACGCTCCACTGCTTCTCATGCTGGAAATCTTTCTAGAAGAGGCTTAGAAACTGGAGTGAAGCCAGAGGGTGGGGCTTCTAGGAATCATTTATAATCTGCCACTTGCAGAGCTCACACACACAACTACACAATTAGGAAGAGCTGCCCAACAGAAGACACAACAATGGCCGTGGTACAGGTGAGCTGAAATGGCACAGACTTCAGGGATCCCAGGTCCCGTAAAGGAAGGAGGAAAGACTGCAAGATTGTTCAAGATGAAAATATTTGGGGTACTTGGTAATTGTGAATGTGAGGAAGAGAAACCCGTGGCATATGATGGTGGAATCCTTACGGGGAAGTGTGTGTTGACCCTGGGTCAGTGTAATCCAATGCCAGCATTTGGTGGTGTCTGACTGAGTGTCTGATTGAGACACTGTGACTTTGTGTGGGGAGTGGACAGCTGACTGGGATGAGGAACTGTGTGTGAGGGACTGTGTGTGTGTGTGTGTGTGTGTGTGTGTGTGTGTGTGTGCAGCTGGCCTGCTGGGGATGAGGGGATGTGGGGATCTGGGTGTCCTGTGAGTGCCCAGGGGGAGCCAGTCTCTGTGCATTAGTGTTGTGCCAGGAGGTCTGCAAGGAATGAGTGCCTTTGTGTGTCTCTGGGTAACTTTAGGCGTGTGTTTGCGTGTGTGTCAGCCCCCCTGTGTCAGTGTCCCTGTGT